CTTCAGCTTTAACCTTCGGTTTCTTCACAACATCAGGATGAACATATGAATCTTCAATGAATGACTTCATCTTGAGCACTGAGCTTTTCTTCAGAATTTTGAATTGAACGCACATTGGGTGAGGATGCTTGATGTACTGATTCTTGAAAATTGGTGCTTTCAGTTTGAGAATCTTCAGAGAGAACATCAGAGAGAAAAAATCTTCTAGATCACTTCAGCAGGTTTATAGATAGTAGCATACTGATTGAGGAGGCTTCAATGCAATCCGTCACATATTCTTTAATTTCAGCTTCACCTTGCTTCTAGGGTTGAAGGATTGAATGTTGAAAGAATAATCTTCATTTCTTTCTCCTTCGAATGAGAATTCTTCGATGCTCACAGACGAAGCCTTGGCTCATAAATTTTCAACACAAACTCAATGAGTTTTATCTTCACCTGAAATCACTTTTAAAGATAAAACAAAACTAAAAGAAAAATTTACCACACAATATTTTTTAGATTTTTCATATTTTCTGAAAAATAAATAAAACAGAAATAACACTATTTTTGTTTTGTTTTTTTTTTTTTTTTTTTAATTCTCCCATAATATTTAAATTAAAAGAAACTATGAACAAATTTAACAAAAATAAAATGATATCTAACTTTAAGAATGATTTGAGATCAAAGTTTTTAGACAATGTTTATCCACTTGTCGGTACCTTTCATATTCACATCTTTGTCTGGTCGTTCGTCAGTATTGTGATCCACTTAAACACGAAAAATTGTGACCATTTTAGGACATACTAATAATTGTAAGACAAAGTGATCCTAAGTTCTTAGAAATTTTATCTGGCCCTAATTCCTTAGATACTATATCTTAAGGACCATTCAGCTGACGACGACCAGGGATATTGTTGTCCACCTAAATTGAGCAACGAGATCTATAGACAATCTCTGAGTGTTCAGTTTTAATTGTACTAGAACATGTTTTCCGCTTCCTGATATGCCCCAGCCATCAAGAACTTCTAGAGTACTCCTTACACCGAGTGAGCAGACAATCATTCAGAGAGAAGATAGATTCAGATTATTATCACTTATAGTTTTAGAGGGATTGAGAAGTAGAAGGTTACATATGTTGTGTACCAGGTCGGATTGGAAGTCACGCAAAGGAGACAACATATGGATAACAGATAAGAAGAATTTCATATATATACCTTGCAAAGAAATAGAGTTGCATATGTTGTGTACCAGGTCGGATTTGAGGTCACGCAAAGGAGACAACATATGACTAACAGACAGAAAGAAATAAAACAATTTTCTACAGACCTAATTTATCCGAATTTACCAGTCGCCCCATCCAACCGAAATCAAGGACTGAATCCGCACATCGAGGAAAAGTTAAGCCATGGTTCTAAGTACGGGTTCAATTAATGTGACAGGTAGATTCTCATATATATCTCTCTGCTCAACCTATCCGAGCGTCATATTGTCAGGCTGAACGGATCTAAGTAGGTCAAGATTTGTCAAGTCTATAAATTTCCTAAGTCCAACTTTACCTAGTCAAGTCCATTTAGAATCTTTTGTGCCTACCAACGCATCAAGTCAGAGCATAGACCCTTCAACTTTGGGTACATTACACAGACTCAGGTTGCCTGTTATCACTTGATAATATCACTTCCCAAAACATCTCCCTCAAGCACATTTCATAACCAGCATAATTTTTTGATTTTCTAATGTTTTTAGACTTTTTTTAAATTTTCTAATTTTTGTTTTGTTTTTATTTCTCCCCTAAATTTGTGCATAGGAGAGAAACGAAAGTAAATTCATAACTTTAAATTATCCTAAAACAAAAACTAGTCTTTAAAGCGAATCAGGTTAAGAAAAACTCAGGAGTACAGAGAAGAAAACGCAAACCGTAATTCACCGATTGAATTTGCATTCAGAAGGTCTGAGAACAGCAAGCATAATCTCAGAACAGATCCGGACATTCTTGATATCATTAAGCACTAACCCCATGTGATACCTTCTTTTCTTCCCTTCCCGCAAAGGACACATACTCTCAAATAATGTTCTGAGTGTTGTACAGTCGAGAGATGTCCCCAATCATATGCCAGGAGCAGCCACTACCAACAAACTGAAGTCTGATGATATGCCTCCATAGCTGCTCCGACACAGAGCGGGATCAGTTGGTCTTTGGAACCCAATCCATTTTGAAACTGGGTCGACCTTTATCATCAGTGAACGGTACTCTCTCCCATGACATATCCTGTTAATCACAAACAGAAGACGATGAAATATTAGAGTCATTAGATGATTTGGGAGTTTTCACCTTTGGTACCCATCTATATTCAGATTTAACCCATTTCTTGTTCGATCCGATGGGTGTCTCGGCACTTGATTTGGAACTTGAAGTCGGCTGCCAAGATGACTTTGACCTAATTGGTCTTGGCTTCACTGGACATCTCTTGAACTAGATTTCTGGGCTGACATTCCCTTCTTGTTCTTGGGTGTTGGATGCTTGGCCTTGGGAGTTGGATGCTTGGCCTTGTGGGTTTGATTCTTGGCCTTCTGCGCGTTCCAGTCACCATTGTCTGAACGTGACTTGGAAGGGTTTCTTTTGAAGTATCTCCTACTTGGCATGCTTTTCCATCCTTATGCATAGTATGGAACGTATGCACGATTAGGACAATTTCTGCCAATGTGTCCAGGTGTTCCACAGTGAAAACATGCCTTTTTCTTCACTCTGAAGTTATTTATTCCTGCCCCTGGTGGCGTATCCTTGCCTTGTCTCTTGTTGTTCCCATATGCACAGTTGCAACAGGCACTCTGTTTAGCTTGAAATGGTGGCCTGTATTTACCAACGACAGGTTGATTAGAAGTAACAGATTCAGAGTTCAAGGGGTCATTTGTTTGTTCAGAAGAACTCTCCTTGTTCTCATCCTCTGTTACTTTGCCTGCACAAGAAGTAGCAACATTAGTATCTTTAATATTAGTAACTCCTCCTAACACAAATCCAGCTCATTTTCCATATCGAAGATGTGGCTCCCTGTCAGTTTCGTCCTGTATCATAGGGATGGATGTGTAGTTATGATTATAAGGAGGAGGTACACTATCATACCCTAGACCCTTGTTTTGATTTTCTTTGAATTTTAATTGGGTTTCATATAAGGACTCGACTATCTGACTTGGCGCAGTATAATTTTTGAAACTGACATCAGTTTTTCCACACTTAATTTTTAAAGCATCAAGTTCTTCAGTAACAGCAACAAGTTGTCTCTTAACATAATCATAATTTTCACACTTGTTGCTATACTCTTCCTGAAGTTTCCTAAAGTCCTTGGTTTTTGCTTCTAATTCAGCCTTCAAGGGTTTCTGTCCTTTCCTGATTTGATATCCTTCATATCTCAGGTCCTCAACTTCTCTTTTTAATAAATTAGTTTGTTCCCGAAGAAATTTAATCGTAGCTTCACAAGTTGGAGTACATGTAACTTCAGTGACCAGAATGTTTTCAGAACTCATTGTTTCTCTACACTTCAAAGCATCAAGTTCTTGAATTACATCAGCAAGACTAAGATGATTGAGATCTTTTGTCTTCTTGATGATAGCCACGTTCATATCCCACGATTTCGGAAGTGAATTCAGTAGCCTTTTGTTTATCTCAGATTTAGACAAGAAGATCCCAGCTATATTCATCTCGGTGATAAGTGTAGTAAATCGCTGCAACTGAGTTTCGAGGGTTTCTCCAGGGATATAATCGAAAATGTTGAAATTTTGTCTTAACATATCCTGACGACTCTCTTTCATGTTTCAACTCCTTCATAGACCTTAAAATCAATTAAAAAAAAACACAACTAGAAGCTAAGATAAAACTTAAACGTTAAAAAATGCATTTTTTTTTCTCAAAAGTCAACCTTAAAAGTCAAATTTAAAAAATCAAACTTGAAAAAGTCAAACCGAAAAGCTAAGTTTGAAAATTTAAAAGTCAAATGAGAAAGTCAAAGTTTAAAATCAAAGGTCAAATGTTAAAAAGTAAAAGTTAAAAATTAAAATATAATTTTATTTATTCATTTTAATTAAAAAAAATTATTTATCTATTATCATCATCATCATTATCATTATTATTATTATTATTATTATTATTATTATTATTATTATTATTATTATATTATGGATATTGTATCTTATGAATAGTAAAATATCACAATTTTTGTCTATTGCCGTCCCTATACTTCCGTTTCTTGTATTGGTTCTTTGTCATTTCCTTATGTTTTGGTTTGTTTCTCATTTTATTGCTTCTTTGTCGTATATGCGCTTCTCCTGTTCATTTCTTTTTTGGTTTCTAGATATTTCTTTATTTTCCGTATCTACGTCCCTTTCTTTTATCCGTATGTGAATCCTTTTCTTTTATCCTTCACTTTCATTCTTCTGCCTCCTTCCTGCTCTCTCTTTGGGGTAATATTCTTATGTTTTTTTTTTGTTTGCTTCTTTTGCTGTGATTTTTCGTTCCAGCTGTTGTTGCTGTGTTGTGTGTTTATTTTGTCATGGCTGTTCCGTCGAAATGGAGAGCTGATGACGGTGGTTCGTCGTTTGTTCCTCCCTCTGTCGGCTGTCGGCGCAGGTCTCGACGTTTACAACCATTATCTCTTCTTCCCGACTACATGGATTGTGGTGACTGTATGTGTGTTTGTGCCTACTGCGGTGCGTTGTTCTGGTACATTGAGAGAATCGTTAATACATCTACAGCTGATCCTCCTAGATATAATCATTGTTGTAGAGGTGGAGATGTTGTACTTCCTTATCCTTCCATGTTTCCCACCGACTTTGTTGCTCTGTATCAAAATTCAGGTTTTTTAAGGGATATTAGGGCTTATAACAACATGTTTTCTATGACTTCTTTTGGGGCAAACGTAGATGAGGATGTGAATGATAACCGTGGTACTTATGTTTTTAAGATATCTGGTCAGATTAGCCACAAGATTGGGTCCCTCTGTCCGGATCCTATAAAGGGTCCGAGGTTTCTGCAACTATACCTCTTTGATACTGGGAACGAAGTAGAGAACAGATTGAGGCCTTTTGATCATCCTTCAAAGAGCGATTTAGATTGTAACATTGTCAGCTATCTGGTCAACTTTTTGGGGGCTAATAACGAATATGTGCGCACCTTCAAGACTGCAAAACAAATAGCAGAAGAAAGTAATTTACAGTCATATGCGGTGCGACTCTTTAACAATGTTGCAGATCGTAGGTATGATTTGCCTTCGTCTGGGTCTTTGGGTTGTATAGTAACTGGTGATGACACAATCTCTACAACATCTGACATCATTATCCATTCCCAATCGGGTCGGCCTTAACGTATCAGTAAGCTGCATCCAAGCTATATGCCATTACAATACCCGCTTTTGTTTCCATATGGTGAAGAAGGTTGGTCACCCCGTTTGAAAATTGGAAATAGGATTGGTGCAACAGCTCGAAATCTTACCGTCAATATGTATTATGCCTATCAAATTCATGCTCGTCAGCATATCTGGTCTCCTATTGTAAACTCATCTCGGCTCTTTCAACAATATTTGGTTGATGCATACACATGTATAGAAGAATGTCGTCTTGATTACATTGTAAAACATCAATCTAATCTTCGGTCTGATTATGTTATCGGCATGTATGATGCGCTTTCGAAGGGAGATAGGGAGGCAAGTGTTGTTGGCAAACGTGTATTCTTACCAGCATCATTTACCGGTGGTCCCCGATTCATGTATAGTCATTATCAAAACGCACTTTCTATATGTAGGGTGTATGGCAATCCACAATACTTTATTACTTTTACATGTAATGTGAAATGGCCAGAAATAACTCGGTACATGGATACACATATGCAAGGAGATGTTCACAGCAGAGCTGATATCATTGCTAGAGTGTTCAACATCAAGGTTCATGAGTTTGTTCGGTTTCTAAAACAGGACAAAACCTTTGGCGAGGTTGAAGCATGTATGTTTTCGATTTCATATTCCTTTCATGTACGGGTTATTTATCATATAGATAATATTTTCCAAATCCGCCTCTTTATAGATATGTTACCATTTGTCTTTCAATTTTTGTAATGAACGGTTACCATATTTTTTAATATTTGTTTTTACCTATGTTTATTAATGTTTTTTGGTTATCGTTTCGTACAGCTTCAACACTACTAGAAAAAAAGCCTTTTACGACGCTCATTGCGCGTCGTAAAAGGCTCAGACGACGCGCAAATGCGCGTCAAGGAAGGCCCTGTCATAAAGAGAGACGACGCGCAT